TTGTAAATATATATAGCCCACATTTATGAGTATGTCTGTGAGGAGCCTGAGAACTTTGTGTATGTCAAGATCCTAACATTATAAGGCATATTATTATTATTATTATTAATTATTATGATTATTAATTATTATTATTATCATCATCATCATCTTAGGTTTTACATTTTCTCCTCACAACAACCCTGTGAGATTGGGTAGGCTGAGAGATTGTGACTTGCTCAACAAATTTCATCTTGAGTAGGGGTTCAAGGCTGGCCCAAGTTTACAATAGCTTTCCTAAACATGCGTGCTGCAGTCCAATGCAGAATTACCCATCTAAGCCCAGTCATTTCAGTAGGTTTAGCCTAGAGTAACTCTGCACAGGATTGCACTATGGGCATTTGTTTCCAAGTAATCTTATAATTAATCAGGTAATAAATCTGCAAATATATATATATATATATATGTGTGTGTGTGTGTGTGTGTGTGTGTGGTGCACAAGCCCACCCAATCTGAGCAGAGACGGCTTAACCCTTTTCTTTCCTGCTGTCCATCTGCCCCAAATCACTCCAAACTGCCTTTAGTCCTGTGGGCTAGAAAGCAGCTGGGGTAGACCAGGGCAACTTGAAGTGAACTAAATGCAACACTGGTGACAAAGGAAGGGTGAAATAAATAAATGTCTTCTATAGTATTCTTTTATCTCTCAAAATAAGAAGTTGGGGGGGATCATGAAAGTGTATGTATTGTACAGTTTGGTCCTAAATCAAAATTCTTAGAAAAAACTAAGCAAGGCTTAACACTATGCTCTGGTCCAGAAATATCAATCCCTTCCTGTTTAAAGAACACATTTGTAGAATGCACAGTCTGAGGACGGCGGGCATGTCGGACTAGGATCTGGGCAACTCACTTTTAAATCCCCACTCTGCCATAGAAGCTCACTGGGAGACCTTTGGCTAGTCCCCCCTTTTTTTTTTTGGTCAGCCTAACCTATCAATACGGTGGGTAAATTCAAGTCTAGTAGCACTTCGGAGACCAACAAGATTTTCAAGGTATAAGCCTTCAAAACTCAAAAATCCCTTGGTCAGATAAGCTTTGACTCTGGAAAACTTCCTCAAAGTCTTGTTGGTCTCGAATCTGTTTTACTGCAGACCTGGGAAACTACCAACATGGTGGTTGCTTTGAGGATAAAAGGGATGAGCAAAGAATGATGTAGGCTGCTTTGGGTCCTCATCAGGGAGAAAATCATGGTATAAATATAGGCAAAGAGTTCTGTGTAATCCAAAAGTTTGCGCAGGGCCCTGGTCGTAAAAGGGTGCGGTTGCAGTGCACTGCCTTTGTACATGTATCCTTGACACATGGAATGCGAGGTTTTTAAAGACCCAGAGGGTAAATATAGACCTAGCCGTCGCTTTCCACTCCCCGCCCCGGGTCCTCCTCCGCAGTGTCTGCTTTAAGGCTTCGCCTATATTAGCCGGCGAAGGGCGCCGACGTTTGAGAAGGTGTCCCGAAAAAGGTGTCACGCCACCTAGAGTCACCGGCGGCGATGCTTTCTGCGTAGCGGGATCCGGTCGTCCCAGGAGCCGCAAACTGAAGAAAAACGCCGCCAAAGGGGATCTCCGCGGCCAGCTCAGTCCGAGGCGCGTCGGAGTTTCCCCAGCCAAGCGTGTGTTCCCCGCCGCCCTTGCGTGTTTTGCCGAGGGGCTGGGAGGGGAAACTCGCGCGCCTTTCTCTCGCCCTTCCCTCCTCCCTCCCACTCGCACTTCCCAAACCGCCGCCGCCAGGGAGAGGCGGCCTCCCGGACAGCCAGGGCCGAGCTCGTCGCGGGTCTGTGTCGGCGCCTCTCTCTCGCCGGGCAGCCAAGAGGGGGCCGCCGCAGCGCCATGGACTCGGGCGAAGAAACGCACGAGATGAACGGGCTGGCGACCGGGAACGGCGGCAACGACAGCGCGCCTCCCGAGGAGGCCAGGAAGGTGGGTATTTGCTGCCCTGCAGCCTCTTCTCTTCCCTCCATTCCGCGAGAAGCCGGGTCACTTGCCGGCCCAAGAAGCCCGCGGCGAGGGATTCAGCGCGCTTGCCGCGGGGCGGGCAGGAGGAGGAGGAGGAGCCTCCGGGCACCCCGGGGCCTAGTTTCTCCGGCTGCGCACCCGGGCGCGGGCGGAGGTCGCTTTCACGCCTCCGTGGGCGGGACAGGCAAGTGGGGCTCCTGATGGCGGACGGGACCGTTCCTTTTTGCTTGCTGGAGCGCTTTGAAAGGCAGGCCCGTTTCCTGGCAGTCGGGGGGGGAGGGAGGGGGGGAATTCCAGCAAATCTCAGCTTCTCGTTCGCATCCCTCCAGTGCCAGCCTGAAGGTAAACAGTGCAGTGGAGAAGGGGTTTCCTAAGGCCGCGCCAGGTGGGGATGGAGGTGCCAAACGGTGGGGCTTGGTAACGGGATTGACAACCGCTGAAAGGAACAGTGTGGGACCTGGGTGGGAACCCGAGGGTGGAACCCAGCAAGAAAAGTGCTCGCTATACAGCAATATCATTGGCTTACCAAATGCCTTATTGTCGTGCGAAAAACAAACCGGGATCACAGTGTAAAACCTAATAGCAAGCAATCACCGATTTGTGGCTGCTATATTTTATAGAACATAAAAATACAAATGGGCCTTACATATCGCATAGGTAACAGAAAAATCTCACAACTAGTAATGTGATCCTGTATCGCAAAAATAAGGAAAGTGATATTGTAGAACAGCTTCTGTAGTAAGTTGACCAGCATCTAGATGTAAGCCCATATCATAGTAGATTTTCCTCAGAAATTATCTTCCTCTTATTTACAACGCTACTTTTACACAAGAAGCAAGCCAGTCAGTGGCTGCTGAGCCAGGGTTGAGGAAGACGGTCCGAGATGGGGCTGAGTGGTGAGAAAGTGTTGGAACGCTGGATCCTGAGGAGGAAGAAGAAGAACTTGTGGGTCCATTAACTACTGTAAACAATGTGAGCAAACAGACAAATGTGTGAAGTTTCGGGAACGTTTAGAGCAGTGTGATGCTCGAGGGTCATCAAGGTCCCACATAGAAGAGCAATGTACAGAGGAGCTCTTTTACTTCTTGCATGCTAGAAATTGCCCTGTGGCTCACAAACTCTTCAGCAAGTTGAAATAAATGTTCTGCAAGCCTAACTCCTCCCCTCCTGCATCCCTGATGAAAACCTGAGCATTTCTGAGTAAACATGCTGCTTTACATCTGTGGCTTGAGAATGTGGAAGTTGGCAGTTGTGACCGACACAACCATCAGTTGTAACTGACTACATAGGAGTTGCAACCCAGATTCCTCAACATTCTGTGGAAGATATATGGTTAGCAGTATTTCTGTGGTGTTCCATATTAAACATATTTCTTGTGAATGTATTTGAAATATTATGGCATATTCTGCAATTAAACATATACAGAATTTTAAAAAATAATTAAAAGAAATAAGTAAAAGAAACATTAATGTTTCCTTCCTGTATCTGAAGAAGTGATTAGTGACTCATAAAAGCCCATACCTTGTCTCAAATGTTGTTAGTCTTTAAGGTGCTACTGGACTGTTGCTCTTTTCTGTCTGTCAACCTTTCTAAACTCAAAGGCTTTTTATGTTTTAATCTGCAATTCCAGTCTGTAATATCCTTTTTGAGATGTAGCAACCATAATTGTACACCATATTCCAGTAATACTGCACCAGGGACTTGTATAATGGCATTACTATACTGGCAGTTTTATTCTCAGTTCCTTTCCTGATGATTCCTAGGATGGACTTTGCTTGTTAAAATCAGTGCTGCACATTGACCTGACATTTTCAACAAACTACCCAGCTCAAATTCTTTTTTCTTTGTTAGTCATTGCCAGCTCCAACTCCATCAGCATATATGTGAAATTAAAAAAATTTCGCCTTGATTTGCCAACTGTGTCCAGGGCCGGCTCCAGGGTTTTTTGTACACTAGGCGAGGCTACCTTCTGCCCCCCCCCCTGCACCCACCAATTTTCAAACA